ACACACACACACACACACAGACCTGCAGCAATCCCCACAAGAAAAAGAAAGCAGTGGAAATCTAATACTGATAATGTGGCTAAGGCCTCATCGTTTACCTGCACAGTTAATCATTCTTGAACTCTTATTTTAAAATACTCCATGTTTACTGAATTCAAAGGCCCACTCCTACATTGTTTCTGACACCTCCACAAGAAACCTTTGGGAGTTTTCCTTCTTGCAAGACCTCGTCCATGTAGTCAGGGTGGTTGTGAAACTACAGCCATTTTAATTTGGGTATATGACAACCTGGCTGTAGTTCAATGCTTTTGGAAGTACACTTAATAACTTCACAAAGCACTGAACTACAGCTCGGTTCATCACTTTTTTGAGTCCCCTGGAAACATTTCCAGTGTAGTTATCCCTATTTATTTGCATGTGCCGCAGTGTCATACATGAAATCAGATTACTTAACATGACAAGTCCGGTTTAACAGTTGTTTAAACCACAGCTGCATAAAGTCAGAAACAATAACCCATCATAAACTAAAATCCAGGATTTCTTGGCCTCTGTTATTTCTATTTCTACCTTTTTATTCTCTTTTAGTTTGTCTCCCAACTCCAAATGCAATACCAGCTTTATAAAGATATCTTTATTAAATTATTCATGACGAACAATGGATTTATCATTGGTCGGATATGAATGTTTAATATGACAAAGCATACACATTTGGAAGGAAAGAGGACACATATTTATATGTACACGTGAGATATGGGACAGCAACACTGACCAACTTCAGAGGAAAACTGAGTTATCAGTTTCTGTAGGAGACAGGATTCCAAAAACAGTGCTATTATGTGCCGAGAATATTTCAGAGCAGAAGAACGATGGACAGGACCAGAGCACGTGAATGAAAATGATTTGAGTCTGACTTTGTTCAATTACATTTTGTGAAGAATTTTGCACCAGATGTTTTCATGTCTGTCAAAAGAGATAAATGAACTCTGCATAAAGTACACTCTGAGTTAAACCGACATCCGGCTCCTCCTCCACATGGATTTCATTTCTACAGAGGAGTCAGCCTGAATGGACTGGATTAGTTCATAGAGCTGAGATTTGGTTCTTTCACAGGAGAGGGAATGGTAGATAGTGACATACCTGGGAATGAAGTGCTCATACCACAGGCAAAACTATGGTATTTTGGGGATGACAAATCAGTTTCTATGATACGCTCAAGCCACTTAAAGAAACAATGGTGCGTTACTGGAAAATATAGATTTGACTTATTAAAACTGCTTGGAATGGGCTGTTTTCTTGTCCTGTGTTAAACAGAGCTATTTCAGATTATTCCCTGACATTTAACGAGTCCTCTTCAAATAGTTATTTTGTCACTTGTTATTGTTTGTGTGCTGGATGTCGTTCTTCTTTTTTCGGTTTTAAAGCAGCTGGCAACCAATGTCAAGGTGCATTACCGCCAAGTGCTGGAAGTTGTGTGCAGAGCTTTTTATTAACAGTCTATGGTGTAGAGTAAAGTTAGAAAACTGTATCCTACCTGGTTTATCTGCAGTGAAGATTTTATAGTCAATGCTTTTCATTAAAAATTAAAGTGATGTTGATTTATCACTGTCCAAGAATTCCTCCTCTGTTGTTATCTCTGATAATGCTAAATATAATCTCTGTAATCTGTCACAGCATTGCAGCAACAAAATGAATTTCATGCTTTTACATTGAAGATAAGTTGCTAAAGTGAAAGGGATTCTTATAAATGTGTTTGCCATGACAGAGATCGACATCACATTTTTATTGATATTTAACACATCTCGTGTATAAATTGCACAAAACTTAGCACTGTACTTGTTCAAGCAATTTACAACACACATGCCAAGAGTGGAGCTGATTAGATGAATAGTTTACGAGATATGCATTCCACATACAGACAGAAATACATTTATGGAATTAGCAGGTAGATAAACTGAAATGATTGCAAGGCACCAAAGTACAGTCCTGCAGCGGAATCCATGTAAGATTGAGTATTTTCTTATACATGTTATTCAGCACTCTCTCTCTGGCCTTGACGAACATTATATCAAAAGACAGTGAAATATCCTCCAGTCTTGAATGTGAGCAGAGAGCGTGACTCATATGCATTTATATAAATCAGAAGCTCTGTATCTGCTCCTTAGAACAATGTGGTCAAAAAACAAACACTCAGGATGAGCAGCAAACCAGCCCTGACTTTGGTCTGTAAGTGTATTACAGAGGTCATATGTGAAATAGCTGGTCGTTAAAATGAAACAAGAGTTTTATACCTGCTCCAAACAAGGAACTATGGGTCATATCTGTTGGTCTATTGACAGGACATAGAGGCGACTGTACAGTCAATAAAGAGGAAACAGTAGATGTGCACCTTATTAGGAATAAATTAGGGCCATTGCTCCTCGTGCAGCGTGGAAGAATGGCGATTATAGCTCTTATATATGAGGACACAGGGACAAGAGTTGCCCATAGATTACACGGATCGATACGCGATTAACATTCCTAACGACGGCTTCTTAATGTCTCCTTCATTTCAATGAGAGGAGGCAGCAGTGCCTCTCCACCATGTGCCTCCTCCTCTTCCTCCTCCTCTTCCTCCTCCTCCTCTCTGCTCTTCGCTGTCTTTGGCTGGAGGTTACGAGAACGATTTTAGCCGACAACAGTCATATCTCTTTGCTCCGCCACTGACAGTTTTATCACTCAACTTAGGTTCAGATGGGAAAAATCTCCTCCTGTGACCTCAACAGATCCAGCATGCAAAAATGACTGTGCCTTCTCACCTATTCTGGGACTCGGCTGTTATTTTCATGGGCGTGATGCTGAGGGATTTATAAACAGGAGGAGTTAATTTAGCGGTCTAACGTTATAAACTTCTAAATAGGTGAAGGGAGAGTATTGTTTGACCTCTACACAAACACTACTGTATATCCCATGCAGCATTACATAATAACAATATTACATTAGTCCTACAGTAGTTGTGGTCATTTATGAGATTGTGTCCTTGTGTTTAAATTTCTATGATCTTCACCATTGTTGGCCAGTAAATGGGGTTCATACATTTTACAGACTTTACCATCTGTCAAATATAAGTCCAGTCGCCACTTTTCCTTGTCCATGTCCATGTTTGTTAACTAGATGCTAAGTCTAATGGACTGTAAATAAAGATGGACGACACATCTCTGCTTACTCCCAGTTAACAAAAATGAAGCTGAAGTATATCAGACACGAATGCCACCATAATTTTTTATGTTGTCTGGATGATTTGGCTTCACCTTGTCTTGTCTAGGGTCAAAACTATGATTTTGTCATTTTGTGAGAGTGGATCAAATGTACACTGAGATTAAAAATGCTGAGGGGAACTTCAGAGTTTGGCTTGATCACCGAAAGCAAGTTAACTTAACACACAGTCTGTGAAGCTTTTAGTAATATAGAGCAGCTTTGAGTCATCCCTGCCAGTATTACATTTTTATCAAAATTAAACTCACAAATCCTGGATTAAAATGTTTAAAAATTAAAAATTAAATTCTCTCCGTTTATTAAAAATAGAAATACTGTCTTAACTTTTTGTAGTAAATAAATTAGATTAGTGCAAAAAATAGAATAAAACTCAAAGTTAAATTTCAGATTGCCAAATCTGATGTGAAGCAAAATGCATCTGTCCTCAGATGTTTTTAGCCTGAGAGAAATATTTGACACATTAACTTCAGGAGTAAGTGATAAATTATGACATTACTCCAATATCCTTAATCTGAATGAGTTTGTAACAGTTTATCTAAGCAGCAGTGGGAGTTTATTGTGACCACTTACCCGTTCTCCACTGGGCAGTGAGAGTTTGGAGTGTTGCAGGAAACACTTGGCTGTGAGAGCTTTTGAATTCTGTGTGGAGAAGTGAAGAGGAGCTGATGGGCAACAAACAGGCCTGAAGTGGCCTTAATCCATCAGACGCTGCAGGGAACAAACCAGTCTGGAGCTGCTTTGAAGTTGCCTTATCGCTCCCTTCTTTCCCTCGCCTCATCTCACTGTGAACCCCCCAAACTGCCTTTAATTACACTGTGTGAGCGTGTGTGTCTGTGTGTGTCTGCATGTGTTTGTGTGTGTGTGTTGGGCAGAAATATTTATGGTTGAGTCATGCAAATGAAGATGAAGGAGGATCATGGGCGAAATGAGGTGATAAATTATGGCAGAGAAAGAATGACTGGAGAGAAAAGTATGAAATAATAGAGGGGTGTAGACGGAGAGAGGAGGACAGGACTGTCAGCTCTCAGCAGAGAATTGACGTTAAGCAGAGGGAATGCTGTTGAAGAGGGGGTGAGGAGGAAAAAGTGATGGGAAAGTGTCAAGTGTGATATTGAGATAATAAAAGCAGTTTCAGCCCATTACCTTACTCAAGAACCCCAAGATACCAAAATGAACCCGTTCAACTTAGCATCGTGGCACCTCTGCAATGTCACATACAGACACACACACGCACGTGAATGCTGCCACCCCCCCCCAAAAAAAAAGCCATCGCCAAAGAGTTGCTGACATCATCAGATCTCCTCTCAGTCGTGAA